ACAGCAGCCATGCTGACTGACCCTGTCACTCACCCCAGGACCTCACTGGACACAGGCCTCCCCTGCCTCACACCCCAATACAGCTCAGTTTCTCCTCCACCTGCTCACTGTCCCAGTTACCCCAGGCCCCAAACTCACCCCAAGCACCCAGGATTTTTTTTTCTTCTCTGTAATTTCTGGTCCCCTCCATCCTGGGACAGCCTCCCCCCATGCTGTCCCTCACCCCCACCTCCCACCCAGGTACGAGCTACGTGTCATTGTGTGGAACACAGATGAGGTTGTCCTGGAGGACGACGACTTCTTCACTGGGGAGAAGTCCAGTGACATCTTCGTGCGTGGGTGTGTGAGGCAGCCCTGGGCTGGGTGGAACCAAGCTGGGGAGGTGGGAGAGGAGAGGGGAGCTGTGGGGTGGGAAGGGGCCCGTGGTATAAGCAGAGGCCTAGAGCATGGAGTGCCCTCAGGTGGCTGAAGGGCCAGCAGGAGGACAAGCAGGACACAGACGTCCACTACCACTCCCTCACGGGCGAGGGAAACTTCAACTGGCGCTACCTGTTCCCCTTCGACTACCTGGCGGCTGAGGAGAAGATTGTCATCTCCAAGAAGGAGTCCATGTTCTCCTGGGATGAGACAGAGTACAAGATCCCCGCACGGCTCACGCTGCAGATCTGGGATGCCGACCACTTCTCTGCAGACGACTTCCTGGGTGCAGAGCTGGGCAGATGGGGTGTCACTGTGTGGGTGTGGGGGGTGAGCCAGGAACCAAAGCTAAGGAGGGAGACAGGGCAAGAGGAGCCCACCCGGGAGGGCCAGAGGGACTAGATAGGGCCCCTGAATCAAGGACGCACCAGGACAGATGTCCTCAGTGTTAGAACCAGTGCCCACAAGAGTCTGGGCTCCCAGAAGGTGGAGGGTGGCAGTCGGCGCTGAGTGATGGGTGAGACTCCCCAAAGGAGTTGGCAGGCCTCCTGAGCCTCAAGTGGCTCTTCTCTAAAATCAGGTTTCCCCTTCAAACTCTAATTTGTACCTGGGCCAAGCTTGTGAGATGGGTGGGATTTTGCACAACAAAGGGGTGGGTGGCAGGTACCAGAAGCGGTCTAGTCTCCAGGGTCAGCCAGAAGGGGTCACTGGGAGCCCCTCGGCTGATCCCAAGGAGCTGAGTCCCAGGGCCGGAGGATGAGGCACATGGTGGTCTTCACTCAGCAGCCAGGGGTCAAGGAGCCCCTGTCCTCTCAGGTCCAGCCTGGAGCTGACTCTGAGGTTGCACAGGGGCCATCGAGCTGGACCTGAACCGGTTCCCGCGGGGCGCCAAGACTGCCAAGCAGTGCTCCATGGAGATGGCCACGGGGGAGGTGGAGGTGCCCCTGGTCTCCATCTTCAAGCAGAAGCGTGTCAAGGGCTGGTGGCCTCTCCTGGCCCGAAACGAGAATGATGAGTTTGAGCTCACGGTGGGCACCTCCTCCTGCTGGGGCAATGGGCAGGACTGGGGCTGACTGGGATGACGAGGGCATGGGCACTGGGACCTCACTGCCCCCTCTCTGCAGGGCAAGGTGGAGGCCGAGTTGCATCTGCTGACAGCTGAGGAGGCTGAGAAGAATCCAGTGGGTCTGGCCCGGAATGAACCAGACCCGCTAGAGAAACCCAAGTAAGTGCCCCTGCCTGACCCAGAACCGGAACCAGACAGGAAGGAGGGGCAGTAATGGACCAGAACCTTCTGGTTCTCCCTGCACCAGCACTCTGTCCTTTCTGTCGCATCCTGGACCACAGATTCACCACCATCATCCCCCGTCCCCTGAATCCCACCACCTCCCTGGGAGCCCACCCTACTCAGGGGTGAAGCTGGGAACCAGAGCAGGGACACAGCACCTCTTCCAGGATGAATACAATGCTCAGGAAAGCAGCTCTGACTAGAATGGGGGTCAGGGTGGGGGGGCAGTGAGCTTTGATGAGACAGCGCCCAGGGTCATTCTCGGCCCAGGGCCGGGCTCCCTCTCCGCCAGGCCCATCTCCACACACCCTGGCCCTTCATCCTTCCATCCTCTCTGTCCTTTCTCCTCACTCCCTCGGCTCCCCTTGCTGCTGCAGCCGGCCTGACACGAGCTTCATCTGGTTCTTGAACCCTCTCAAGTCAGCGCGCTACTTCTTGTGGCACACGTACCGCTGGCTGCTCCTCAAACTGCTGCTGCTGGCGCTGCTGCTGCTCCTGCTGGCGCTCTTTCTCTACTCTGTGCCCGGCTACCTGGTCAAGAAGATGCTCGGGGCCTGAGCCCGCTCCTCCTGGGCCCGGGCCTTCTCGTGAGCTGGTAGCGTGCACGCACATGCACACACGTGTGCACACATGTACACGAGCACACGTACAGTGACCTCCAGGCTTTCCTAGCACAATCACGGGCTCAGCACTGGAAACGACCATTCTACACTTTAACACACAAGGCCAGAGAAGTGGAGTCACTCGCCCAGCTAGGACAGGGCAAGGCTAGGACTGGAGCCAGGGCTTCTGGATTGCTGGTGCTGTGTCTCACATCACTTCCCCTCCTGGCCTCATTCCTGACACTGGCAAACCCAAGTTCACTGGCATAATGAAATTGAGATGTGGATAAAGAAAGGAGAAGGCTTTGCCTAGAATTAGCCGGGCAGTGCTAAAGAGCTTCTAGCAGTGTGTGTACTACCTCGACACACGCTGTCTACTGTTTTCTGACCTAGAGGCGGGTCAGCGTGATCTGAGTGCCCACTCTGTCTGTCCAGCTGCCAGAGCTTGGCACACGCTGTCTCCTTAGTGATGCCACTAACCCCTATTAGCTTTCCTTATAAACAAGCAAATGGAGACTCAGGGCAGAGGGTTTGTTTGTCCCCAGGCCCATGCTCTGGAATTCCTGATCCTGAACTTGGCCCTGGCAGTGCTCCATCCATATCGTCCAGGGAACTGGTGGGGAAGTAGTTTGAAAAGACAAACTTAATAATTTACATTACAAAGCCTCTGAGTTTTGTAACACAGGAAAGTACAGTTTGGATATACACTTCTTGGCTAGGAGACCATGCAGGGTTACAGGGGTGATTTGCACCCCGGGGATGGGCCGGTTGGTGAGGGTGCACACACCCTTCTGGGACTCTGAGATGTGACAGGACATGATGGGGGCAGGTGCAGTGTTCACAGAAATGGAAGGAGGCAGGGGAATACCAGGCCCACTGAGCAGGGACACAGGGCAGCACCAGGCCACAGCGGACAAGGTGACAAGTCAAGGAGCCTTCTAACAATGAGAACTGTCTGTCTTTGCAAGCCAGTGGGCTCCCACCACTGCATGTGTCTAAGGATGTGGGAGAGATGGCCCACTTCCAAAAATGCCATCTTGGCCTTGGGAAGGAGACCAGAGACCTCGGTGCCCTGATGCTGAGAAGTGAGGGAGAGTCCCGGCTCCAGCACTGCCCTCAGCCATGACAGGGCCCCTTGGTGCCCAGCAGGGCTGTGAGGAGGGAGTCTCTGTTGGTGGCTCCTGCTCGTGCCTGACGACGGCCCCTCCCTCCCACAGCCGGCCCGACACCGCCTTCGTGTGGTTCCTCAACCCACTCAAGTCCATCAAGTACCTCATCTGTACCCGCTACAAGTGGCTCATCATCAAGATCGTGCTGGCCCTGCTGGGGCTGCTCATGCTGGCCCTCTTCCTCTACAGCCTTCCCGGGTACATGGTCAAGAAGCTCCTGGGGGCATGAAGGGCCCTGGCTCCCCACAGCTCCTCTCCCTGGCCCCTGAGTTTGCACTTCCTTGGCCTGGACTCTTTTCCCTCCTTCTGGCAATGCCCAGAAGCCCTTCCCAATCATAGTCCCAGGAGCTGACCTCCTGCTTACTGGGCTAGTGGCTCCTGAACACCCATACTGGACACCCTAAGACTGTTGCCTGCGCATTGCATGGGGCCCCCTGCCTGTGGGGTCTACAGACAGAGGGAAGGATCAAGGACTGAGGGAGGAGCAGTCCCCTCGGGCCCCACCTTGCAGAGGGCACCCCCCTTCACTGCCTGCAAATGAAGCTGCCCCAAACCCTGCCAGGCCTTCTGGCTCCAGGCCTTTGATGAAATTAACCAAGATCATGGGCAAGTGTCCAGGGTTTTCAAAAAATGAACAAAGGAAGACATATCACCCCCTCCAGACACAATCCTGTGAGGAGAGCAGACAACACCAGTCCTTGTTCTGCAGAAGTGGGCCAGAGCTTCCCTTCAGATTCCACTGGGCAGCTGCTTCTGCCCACCACAGCCCCCCACACAGCCCCTCGAGGGGTCCTTGGCGCTCACATGTGCCCAGGTCCTGTACCTGTGGTCATGCACCGCTTCCTGGGGTCATGCCCACAGCCCCCAGAGAAGCAGAGTGGAAGCAAGGCTGCTGCTCCCTGCAGACGCTCCCTCCCTGCCCCTTTCTCAGTGCTGCTCTGCCTGCCCGCGCTGCATTCCTGTTGGCTGTTTCTCCTTCCTTGAGTGCTGATTTTTCTCTTAATAAAAGAAACCAAACCCTGAGCTGATGTTTCCATGGTCAAGTGAAGGGAGCACCCCCAGTACAGGGCAAAAGTCCCTCAAGGTGATAACTGGCCTCTCATGATTGGGGTTCAAGGCTGGTCTAAGGAACCTCAGGGAAAGCCCTCGCACCACAGCCCTGCGGGCCCACAAAAGAGCTGCGAGGTTCCTTCTGGCCCAAAGGCCTGTCGGAAAGCAAAAGGCCTCACAAGACCTAAAAGCCTTAGCAAAGGCCCTCAAAGCCAGAAGTGAGCCACATGCCACTAGGCCGGCCCCAACCTCACAGACAGCCAAGGCAGCACAGCCCTTCTAACATCAAGGTGGGGCCCTGGGGTCACTCTGAGCCTGCCCTCATTAAAGAGATGCCAACAGAACTTTCAAAAGACTTTAATCATAACATTTGACGGGCCCTACACAGCCAGGCCTGACACTCCAAGGTGGCCAGAAGCAGCTCCCAGGCAGTGTTGACAGCATCCACATGGGATCAGCACCGCCCTGGGAGGGCTAGCTTTCTTTCGTGGGTAACCGGAACACTTGAGTTGGAGGAACTTGCAGTTCAGAGTTTATCTGGAAAGGAGGGAATAGGAGCTGTTGGGATTTCTCGGCATCTTCCCATTGCCAGGACCTCTGTGGAGCCAAGTGCACCTGGTTCTCACCTGTCACCAGTCACCAGAGTAGAAGGAGGTCTGCAGGCCTGGAGTCCTTCTTGCCTACCTTTGACCCTACTCTGTTAAGGGAGCTCTGGTGGCTTAGTGGTAAGGAGTTGCGCTGCCAACACAAAGGCAGGTGGTTCGAATCTATCAGCCACTGGGGGACAAAGACAGGCAATCTCGTCTTACATGATTTACTGCCTCTGAAAACCCACTGGAGGGTCAGATAAGAGTTGGTTCTGACCAAATAGCACACAACTACTCAGCTAACAGTCAATGGTGTTAACGTCCTCTCTGACTCAGTCTCTTAGAGCCTCGCCTCCTTCCCTTGCCTGTCCTGCTCCCATTTCAGCCTTCCCTTACTTCATCCTTCCTCATCCTCTTGTGCACAGTAGTAGCACTGGGGGACATGTGGGCCAAACAATCCTCAACTACCTGAGCTCCTGTCACAGCCATCATGTCCCCACAATGCTCACCATGCCCCCCTTCGGAGAGTGGCCCAGGCCTGAGGCTATGCCAAGGCACCACATCCCCTGTGGGTGGCCTTGTGGCTGGCCTGTCACCTCTCACACAGGCAGCTGATAGCCAAGCACCTACTCGTATCAATGTGTCACAACTCTTTGACCCACGACCTCAGTGTCCCTCCAAAGGATTCCATACCAGCAGAGCACAATAAGAGACTGTGATAAAAGGACACTGGGCCAGAGGTGGCTGCCTGTGAGAGGTGGGGGGGGGGGGTGCTCCTGTGATGGAGCACAGTGGAGCTGTCACACCTGTCAGTTCAGCAGGCAGGCGTGAGGCCCAGGACAGCGGCCTTCTCCTTGTGCCAGAGAGCCGGCTGGCAGAGCAAGAGGGCCTGGGCTCAGGGACAGTCACAGGTTCCTGAGTTATGATCCTCCTTTTTGTGAAATGGAGATAATTCCTGCCCTACCCACCCCACAGGATGGTGTTCGAGTCAAGGAAGAACAAGCACGTAGAGTGTCTGGAAGCTGCAGTTATTTCTGGGTTTAGTTTTGCTGTAGGAGTGGTCCCAACTGGCAGCTGGTACCACAGAGCACCAGGACACTGTTACAGCATGCTGTCTTGGAGGAGACCTCTGGGAACATCCCTGCCTCACCCCATGATCAGCCTCAAGTTGTTGATTTTTACCTCACATCTTGAAGCTCATTCACTGCTGAAAGAAAACTAATTCCCAGTTCCCCACCATTTGCTCCAGCCCCCACCTTGCCCGCCTGTCCACATTGTTGGGTCCCAGGCCCACACCTTGCCAGTCTTCCCACCTTGTTGGAATTCAGGTACTGCTGCAGAAGCTTCTGGAACTCCGTGTTCTGCTGCTCCAGATGACTGTTCTCTTTCAGCAGCTTGGCCCTTTTTGTCAGGATGAGGCTTTGGGCAGAAAAGCAAGTTAGAGACCCAAGGAATCTCCACTCTGCCTAGTAGAGACCATAATGTCCATGTTCTTGTATGTGGGAGAGGGTTCTAGAAGCTCACATTGTTCTAGAATCTTCACTTACCACCAGAGCAGCCCCCCTGACAGACCAGAGAGGCAGCAGCAGGGCCCACCATCCACCCTGCCCCATAGGTTTTGCCCTCCTCGCCAAAAGCAGCTTTCCCCCCACCAAGATCTCACAGGAGTGAGCAAACGTGGCTGCTCCAAGTAGGGTCACTCAACTCTGACCTGCCTGTTCCCTCGTGTGTCTGGGCAATGACAGGCACGCTTAAAACAAACCAACCTGCCACCATTGAGCCAGGCCTGACTCCTGGTGACCCCACAAGCCACACAGAGTAGAATCTTTATGGGACAAATTGCCAAGCCGTTCTTTAATGGAACTGCTGGATGAGTTTGAACCACTAACCTTTAGGTTAAACTGGAACACAAACCATATGTACCACCCAAGGTCCTCAAGATAGAAACACTCACTGGTACTTCTCCAGGGCTTGGTACAGAGCATCCCAGAGGTTCAGCTTGTTGGGAGGGATGACCATGCTCAGGGCCTTCCAGTACTGGTAGTCTTTTGAGTAATCTCGAACCTCCTTCCCCATCCTCAGTGACATCTGAGACTCCCTGAGGGAACGGTGGTATCATGTCTCCACCTGCCAGGCCCAGGCTCCCAGCAGGGTCCATCAGGGCCCTGTTCTTGCAAAGATACTGGCTGAGTTCACATTATCACCTTTCTACCCATCACCATTCCACTCACCTATGAGGCCTATCAGATTACAGCAGATTCTCGGAAATTAAGCATGCCTGTTGTCCATCTTCCTGACTCTTGGGAATTCTGAGATACCTTGGTGAAAGCACTCCTGAAGTTTTAACCTCTTCTCCTTGTCTCGGGTGCTCTAGCAGCATTATCTATAGGGAGTCACTGCAAACCCAAAGACCACACCTCTACAGTGGTTCAAATCTACCAGCAGCTCCAAGGGAGAAATATGCCAATCTCCTGCCATGAGACTGACAGCCTTGGAAGCCAGGGGAGGGCCAGCTCTGAGTTGATCCTGACTCAGCAACACTGAGGGTGAGTGAGTGGGTCTATTTCTCTCAATCACTTTACCTCAAATGGCTTCACAGCTCATTAAACCTACCTACTGCCATGGAGCCGCTCTCGACTGACAGAAAACCCGTGGGATAGAGGAGAACTGCTCCACAGCGTTTCCAAGGTTGTCATTTTTATAGACACAGACGTCTACATCTTTCTCTCACAGAGCTTCTGGTGCTAAAGCTACAGAGGGTTAAATCAAACCCATGGGAACCAATATTTGACCTTGAGTCTATTTCTCTTGGATTAAAAAACCATCTCAGGTACAGGTTTGAGGCTTTAAACATTAATGAGCAAAGACAGATGAGCTGTAGGAGGATATAAGGAATATCATTCATGAAGAATGCAAAAAGTTATTACAAAGGCAGAGGAGGAAGAAAAGACCAAGATGGATGTAAGAAGAGACTCTGAATATTGCACTAGGGTGCCAAGAAGACAAAGCAAAGAGAAGAAATAAAGAAGTTAAGGAGCTGACCGGAAGATTTCAAAGGGCAGAGCAGGAAGACAAAGCAAAGTATTATAATGAAATGTGCAAAGAGCTGGACTTAGAAAATCAATAGGGCCAAAGTCACTTGTCATTTCCTAAGCTGAAGAAACTGAAGAACAAACTCAAGCCCTGACTTGCAATATTTAAGGACGCTTTGGGCAGACTATTAAATGATTCAGAAAGCATTAAATCAAGATGGAAGGAGTATATAGTCACTGTACCACAGAATTGGCTGACAGAAGAATTTCATGAAACAACATAGGATCAAGAGCCCATAGTGATGAAGGAGGAAGTTCAAGTTGCTCTGAAAGAATTGGAAAGGGGAAAAATAGACTCCAGGAATTGATGGTATACCAACCGATATATTTCAACAAACAGATGCTGCCCTGGATGCACATACCAAGTTGTGCCAAGAAATCTGGAGACAACTATCGGGCCAGCTGGCTGGAAGAGATTCGTATTGTTCCCATCTCAAAGAAAGTTGACGGACAGAGTGAAGAAATTATCAAACAATTATCATTAATATCACATGCAAGCAAGATCCTGCCTAAGATTATCCAAAAACACCTGGAGCAGCACATCAACAGCGAACTGCCAGATGTGCACACTATGTTTACAAGAGGTCGTGGCACTAGAGATTTAATAACTAATAGTAGAAGGATCTTGGCTGAAAGCAGAGAGTACAAGAGGAATGTTTATCTGTGTTTCATTGACCATACAAAGGCATTTGACTGTGTGGATCACAACAAACTGTGGCTGATTCTGAGAATAATGGGAATCCCAGAATGCTTGATTGTGCTTATGCGAAACCTATACTTAGACCAGGAGGCAGTCATCAGAATAGAGCAAGGAAACACTGAATGGCTCAAAATCATGATTCAAAATCCGTTTTCAATCTACATGTAGAACAGATCATCCAAGAGGCTGGGCCCTATGAGGCGGAATGTGGCATCAAGACTGAAGGGAGACTCTTAAACAACCTGTGTTTTACAGATGACACAACCTTGCTTACCAAAACTGAGGAGGATCTGAAGCGCTTGCTGCAGAAGGTCAAGGACTGAAGCCTTCAATATGGATTGAAGCTCAACATCAAGAAAACAAAGATTCTCACCACTGGGCTGATTAGCAGCATCATAATAAATGGAGAAAATATTGATATTGTTAACAGCTTCAGCTTGTTTGGCTCCACAATCAACTCATGGTACCAGCAGCCAGGAAATCAAAAGACTAATTGCATTGGGAAAATCTGCTGTCAGGGACCTCTCCAGAGTACTGAAGAGCATCAATGTCAGTCAGGAGACTAAGGTGGCCCTGATCCAGGCCATGGTATTCATAATTACTTGCTATGGGTCAGAAAACTGGAAAATGACTAAGGATGATAGAGGTGCTGGAGAAGAATATGAAATATACCCTGGAGTGCTAGGAGAACAAACAGGTTTGTCCTGGAAAGGGTGAAGCCAGGCTGCTCCTTGGAGGCAAGGATTCTGAAGCTTCATCGGGCATACTTTGGGAATGTTGCAAGGAGGGACCAGTCATGATTGGGAGGGTGGAGGGACAGCGCAGGAGAGGCAGACCCTCAATGAGATGGAGTGACTCAATGACTGGGGTAATGGAGGTAAGTATGTCAGAGACAATGAGGTTGGCTCAGGATAGAGCAGGGTTCAGAGCTGTTGTACCTAGGGTCGCATGTAACAATATCATGCACCAAAAATCTTTGGTTTGCTATAAAGCACTTAACTAGTGTGCCACTGGGGCTCCTTACATCTCATTGTTGTTATTATGTGCCCTTGAGTCGACTACCACTCACAGTAACCCTATGAACAATGGCTCTATGCCCCATTTTTTCATGAATACATTAAAAAATTTGTTTCTCCTCTCTATCCACTCCATGATAAACATACTATGAATCACAGACAACTCGATAGCACATAACCACATCCACTTTATGATGATCTTATTCTGGGAAATTACTGTCTCTCAACTTAGGAATCTCTCAAATGCTCTCCCTCTCTCCAGCATCAACCCTTTCCTGCCAACATGACCTTTCTAGAACACAGTCCTAATCCCCCAGTCCCTCATTACTTAAAACCCTTTCCTGGCTCCAGTCAACTAAGAGATGAAACCTCTGCAACACCTCGGGCCGGACTCCCCATGATCTGCTCTGCCTCCCCCACGGCCCAGACCCTGGGGACTCCAGACTCATCTCTGTGACATGCGTAGTTGAACACAACAGCGATTTCAACTGCTGTCATGTCCCGGAAGGCTCTGTCTCCACTCTATTCATCTAGCAAACCCTGCTCCACTGTCATCTCTTTCTAAAAGCCTCTCCAGGATGTCAGATGGTGCTATCTAAATCCTCCTCTGAGAAACTCTTCACCTTGTGCCCGTGTGTCCCATTGCCCTCATCACAGTGTTTCCCCATAGGGCCTGCATATGGCACACCTCAATGAATGTTTGTTGAATGAATAAATGCATGTCAAATGAAAAAATAAAAATCGTTACTACAACCTGTACTAGTGAGAGACACGGTTGTAGTAATGTGTAACATTAATTCCCCCAACCCTCCTTTCCAGTATCCACTCACTTGTTCCCCCACATCCTATGCTCACCAGCATCTGATGGAGTCCTTATTCCACCCACCTCTCTAGTTCCCAGCAAACCTTTGACACCAGAGCTCACCTGGGCTTGTTCAGACCCATGACAAAGGCCTTCAGAGCCTTGAGGACATCATTAGGGTGGATAAGTCTGGGAGAGGAAGGTGGGGTGGTCTCCTCTTCCTGATCCCCCTCTGAAAGGTCTTCCTTCCTTTCTTCTTCGATAGACAACTTTTCTGCAGACTCAGGCATGGCTTCCACACTCAGTTGTTTCTGTAGAAAAGAACAAAATGTTCGGTGGTGATCTAATTGTTGTGATGTGCTGCCGAGTTACCTGTGATTCATAATGACCCTATGGACAACAGCCCTAAAACCTGCTCTATCTATCCTGTGCCAATCTTACTGTCTCTAACACATCTACCTCAATTATCCCAGTCACTGAATCAATCCATCTCATTGAGGGTCATCCTTTCCTGTGCTGTCCCTTCACCGTCCCAAGCTTGATTTCCCTCTCCAAGGACTAGTCCCGACTTGCAACATGTCCAAAATATGTCAGATGAAGCTTCAGAATCCTTGCCTTCAAAGAGTAACCTGTTCTAACCCTCTCTAGGACAACCCTGTTTGTACTCTTAGCAGTCCATGATATACTCAGTACTCTTCTCCAGCACCATAATTCAAAGGTATCAATTCTCCTTCTATCATCCCTAGTCATTGTCTAGCTTTCTGATGTACAGCAAGGAATTGCAAAGACTATAGCCTGGATCAGGTGCACCTTAGTCTCCAGACTGATATTGTTGCTCTTCAGTACTTTGGAGAGGTCTCTGACAGCAGACTTTCCTGATGCGATTCATCTTTTAATTTCCTGGCTGCTGATACCAAGAGTGTTAATTGTGGAGCCAAGCAAATTAAAGCTGTTAACAATCTCAATCTCTTCACCATCTATCATGATCTTTTTAATTAAAATATATGCACTTGGGAGAAAGTGCTGCCATAAGTTGAATTGTGTTGCTTCAAATATTTACTATGATCTTCAGTGCTATGTATTTATTCCATGTGTTGTAAACTCCAGCCTGTATAATGTTAAGGGGCAGGATTAGGGTCCATTGTATAATGATAGCACTCCTTAGTCAGTTTGCTGCACTGTGGTGACTTGCTTGATATTATGATGCTGGAAATTATGTCACCAGTATTTCAAATACCAGTAGGGTCATCTGTTGTGAGCAGGTTCCAGTGGGCTTCCAGACTAAGGCAGTCTAAGAAACAGGACTGGTTATCTACTTTCAAAAAAATAGTCATTGAAAACCCTCCAAACAGTATCAAATATTGTTTGATATAATGTCAAAAGATGAGGCCCTCAGGTTGGAAGGCAATCAAAATGCAATGGGGGGATAAAATAGAAGAATGGACCTTCTAAAGATTTAATCCTTGTGTGCATCAAAAACTTTTCCAAGGGGGTGAAAAGAAAACCTACTGACTGGGGAAAAACTTTTGGCAATACCATCTCAGGCAAGGGTCTCATATCAAAAGTTTACCGGATCCTACAATGCCTCCACAAGAAAAAGACTAATAATCCAATTATTAAATGGGCAAAAGACATGGAAAGACAACAGAGGACAATATTCAGATGGCCAACAGACACATGAAGAAATGTTCAAAATCACTGTCAATAAGAGAGATGCAAATCAAAACCACAATGAGATATCATCTCACTCCAGTAGAAGTAGTAAAGTTTAGCAGGACAGCAAGTAATAAATGTTGGAGAGGATGTGGTGAGATAGGAACTCTTATACACTGTTGGTGGAATTGTAATATGGTACTACCACTCTGGAAGATAGTTTGGCATTTCCTCTCAAAGCTGAACACAGAAACTCCACAGGACCTTGCTATTCCACTAGTAGGAATATATTCAAGGAAATTAGACCTGAGACACAAAAGGAGATTGTGACATCAATGTTCTTAGTAGCGTTATTCACCATCTCAAAAACATGGAAGCAGCTCAAATGTCCAATCACAACTGAATTGATTGAGAAATGGTGGTACAGACACACGATTAAATACTACACAGCTCACAGGAGCAATGTTTTTAAAAAGTATGACATAACTTGGGAGAGACTGGATAAAGCATTATGCTGAGTGAACTAACTCAGTCTCCTAAGGACAAATATTGCATAACACCATTATTGTAAAAATAGAAAGATAACTGGTAAAATGTGTAGGGGGGTCTTAGGGGGAAGGGGTGGGAGTAAAGGGGGTTGGACAGTGGGAAACCACAGGCTCACAGAGTTTGGTACGTGGAGGGAGTGGGGTAAAGGAAATGGAAAAGATACAGCAGGGACCTGTAAAGACAGGGTAAGGTGGGCATAGTGCAATGGTAATTAATTTTACAAAACACAATGTATGGGAATGATTATATGAAACAATGTGAATGGAGGCAAGTGTGAAACACAATGTATGTGAAGTTCATATGCAAATCAATATAAAATAAAAATTTAAAGGAAAAAAATGCAACGAGGGAAGAGCTGCCTCCTCAAAATAAAGTCTACCATAATATGCGCATGGAGTATAGCAAAGCCCAGTGAAGGACCTTCATGTGTTGAGATAATGAGATTCAAACTGAGGAGAAAAAACTGTAAATATCCATTAATAACTGGAATGTGCCCTGAAACCCACAGCGTCCCTTTTCAGGAGGAAGTAGCTAAGAGAATACGCCATCCCCTTTTCCTTATGAATCAGGGTGAAGTCTCTCTCAGGGAGGAGTGATAGGGAATGGCAAAGGACACACCGACAAAGGAGATTAATCAGAACTGACTTTGACAAGCACTGTGGCAATGGGACAATTAAAACAGACTTTCGGGGGGGGGAAGAGAGGAACAAACGTGGGGGAGGGTAGAGAAAATCGTGCAACAATGAATGAATGGAAACCCAAAATCTCTGTAAATGTTCATTAAAATTAATAAAATTTAATGAAAAAAATAACTGGAATGTGGAATGCACAAAGTGTGAATGTAGGAAAATTGGAAGTTGTCAAAAATGAAGAGGAATGCATAAAGATTGACATCTGAGGCACTAGTGAGAAGAAGTGGAACGCTATTGGTCATTCTGAATCAGATAATCATGTGCTCCACTACATCAGGAATTACAAACTGAAGACGAATGATGTTGCATTAATTGTAAAAAGGGGGAAGGGAATCAGGATTTATCCTGATGTACAATAATTCATCAGTGATAAGCATGCAATAGCCATGAGCATACAGAGAAAATTTGTTCATACAAAAATTATCAAAATACATGCACCAACCACTAAAGTCAAAGATTCAAAAACTGTGGATTTCTATTCTATCAACTTGTGCTTTCAGAAACCTGTCCAGAGTACTGAAAAGCAACAATGTCAGTCTTTAGACTAAAGGGTGCCTGATCTAAGCCATGTTCTTCACAATTACTTGCTATACATCACAGAGCTAACAGGACAATGACTATGGATGATAGAAAAAGAACAGATGGCTTTGAGTTGTGGTGTTGGAGAAGAGTATTGAACATTCCATGGACTGCCAAGAAAACAAATAGGTCTGTCCTGGAGAAAGTGAAACCAAATTGCTACATGGAGGCAAGGATTTTTTTTTAATAAAATTTTTATTTTATACTGGTTTACTTACAAAGTTCGTATACATTGTTTTTCACACCAGATCTTTCCCATTTCCTTTGCCCTCCCCTCCCTCTACCCATCAAATTATGCAACTCTATGATTACCCCCCTGCCTATTCTCACCCTTATGCTCCCACCCTCCCTCCCGTGGACCTTCATACATGTTTATCTACTTATCTATTTCTATAATTATGGTCTTACACAGCATTTGTCCTTATGAGACTGAGTTTGTGCAGTTACATGATGCTTTCTAGACCTTCCCAAGTTAGGTGGTAATTTTCTAAATCATTGCTCCTGCATGCTGTGTAGTATTCCATCATGTGAATGTACCACACTTTCTCAATCCATTTGATTTTGGTTGGACATTTGGGCTGTTTCCATTTTCTTGGCGATGTTGAATAATGGTTCGATGAACATTGTTGTAAAAATCTCTGTGTCTCTGGGTAGATTCCAAGCAGTGGAATATCTGGGTCATATAGTATTTCTGTGTTCAGCTTTATTTGAGGAAATGCCAAATGGAGGCAAGGATTTTGAAGCTCCACCTCACATGCTTTGGGCATGATGGCAGGAGGGCCCAGTTCTTGGAGAAGGACATCATGCTTGAAAGGGTGGAGGGACAGTGCAGGAGAGGAAGACGCTGGCTGAGAGATTGACTCAGTCACTGGGATAATGCAGGTAGGTGTGTTGGAGGTAATGACATTGGCTCAAGATAGACCAGGATTCAGAGCTGTTGTAATAGGGACACTATGAGTCACAAGCAACTTGATAGCACACAAAATATAGCTTGTGGCGTATGAAACTGATCAAATATGCAATTATGACAGAATAATAAAATTTGGTAACTGGAAGGCAAAATTTAGAAACAAAGGATTGGTTGGTGAGAGAAATGAGGTGGGAGTTAATGTAATTTTGTATAATCAATGATTTATGCACTGCAAATTCCATTTTTAAAAAAACTTAAAAGGTTAACTATACATCTAGACCTCATCTGATGGATTACACAGGAATCAGCCCGCCTTTATCTGTGCAAAGAGACAGTGGAGAAGCTCAATAGAAGCTGTCAAAACAAGGTCAGCAGCTGACTGTGGAACAGACCATCAATTGCTCATACACAAGTTCAAACTGAAGCTAAAGAACATGAAACAAATTCCATGAGAATAGATTTGATGCACTGACCAGTACCAAAGCAAAAATCAGATGAGCTGTGGGATGACATCAAAGCCATGATAAAGGAAAGAAACAAAGGGTCGTTAAAAAAATAGTGCACATCAAAAACATTTTTCAATAGAGTAAAAAGAAAACCTACTGACTGGGAAAAAACATTCGGCAATATCAGTTCAATTCAGACAATGGTCTCATATTAAAAGTTTACAGAATTCTACAAGGCCTTCACAAGAAAAAGATTGATAATATAATTATAAAATGGCAGGGGAGGGGAACATGGAAAGAATTTTCACAGAGAAAGATATTTGGATGGCCAATGGACACATAAAGAAATGCTCAAAATCACTAGTGATAAAAGAAATGTAAATCAAAACCACAATGAGGAATCAACCATCTCATTCCATTAGCAGTGGCAAAGTTTAATAAGACAGCAAGTAATAAATGTTGGGGAGAATGTGGAGAGATTGA